CTTTGCTTCTATGGCAAACAGACAGATTAAACAGATTGCTCCAACAGAGTGTGATTGAGTGCTTTGTGGTGTCAGTAGGTATTGGATGTTGAGGATGGATGAGTGCATGTGAGGCGGAGGGGGGTTGGTGAATTTACAGTTGGGCCTGGTAAAGGCTAGTGAAGAGGGTCAGTGTGAGACTGGGTGTCTCTGGCGATGATGACGTGTCAGCTGCACTCATCGGTTCAATAAATACAAAACAAAGGAGGGGAGAGCAGATTAATGGGACACCAGCAGAGAGATGAGGGAGAAAGAAAAACGGATGACAAAACTTGGATCTTTTTTGTTTTAGATTTAACACATTTTAATTCAAAACTGAAATTCTCAGTTTGAAAAAGCTGTCAAGTTAGTTTTTGGTTTTTTGATCAACATGCAGAATCACATTAACCTGACAACAGCCAGATGCATGTCTCGCTCCGCCTATCTCCACTCACATAGATCTGGGACACCGCTCATTGAAAGTGATTTCCCCAACCAAATTTATGGTCTGGCCAATCAGGACGCAGGGCGGGTGTTTCCTGGATGTGACGTAGTGGAGAAGCGAGTTCTGAAAGTCGTTCGTCTATACTTTTTTGGTTGGCTTCTTTTTTTAAAATAAGTCTGCTGTGCACAATGTTGCCTTTTATCCGCACATTTTCATAGCACAAACGACATTGATCATTTACCGACATTGCGCTGATTCCACTGTTGCTATATCCAAGATGTCAGCTGTTCTGTTTTGTTTTTTTCCTGCGTAGCTCTCACAGCGTCACGGGTTAGCTTCAGTGTGAGTGGTTGAAATAGCACGTCGATAAAGATGACAGACAAGTGGCTTATCCAGTCATATGCAAGGAGTTTTGATAAGGCCCAGCCTTCAGTAAAGGCAATTCCTATGGCGGTGTCCCAGATGTATGTGAATGGAGCTAGGCGGAGCGAGACATGCATCTGGCTGTTGTCAGGTTAGAATCAGATGGGAAACCAGTGAATTTTAACTTCTTTTTACAAACAGCAACAAGAATCTATAGGCAGAGAACTGCAGGAAGTCAGTTGAACTTTCTGGTTGGTCTGAGGGGAGAAAGCAGGAAGGAGCTGGTTGATGACAACTGATGACCAATTTATTTGCTTATTTGAGGAATGAAGGGTAGGTAGCAGGGATCTGTAAGTATTTGATTTAGCAGGCTTTGTAGACTCTACTCCAGAGATCCAGGAGAATGTGTGTAAGTTTAAAGAGCTTTGGTACTTGCAACAGACGTTGTGCTGGAGAGCGGGCAGGCAGGTGAGAAGGACTGCACACAGGTAAGACCTTTTCCACAGAGATAGACGAACTGAGGTTCACTGGTTCTCATCAGATGTAAGCACCTTCTTATCTACACGCTAGTCATCTTGATTGAGAAATGTTCTCAGTTGTGCAGCAACATGGATCAGCCCAGCCACCAGCAAAGATCTTCTCCATGACAGGAAGCTCACTTGCACCAGAAAAACAGCAAGACCCCGGAGACCATAACGACATCAACCTTACATGCATGTGCTGTCATGACAACACTCAAAGCCATTTGGGAAGATGATGAGTTAGCTGCATGAAGAGAAGGGAAAACAGCTCTGTCCAGGGAAAAGCCCACAAGAGACATCCTAACGAGGTAAAGATAATAACATTGTGCACATCGTTGGAAAAATGGTTGAATGTGCTATTATTGAGCACATTCGATTTGTTTATGTGAAGCTTCAGTACGTTTGTAAAAATCTGTCTGCTTTCCACCGTGTGACCAATCAGAAAGTTCAACTGACTTCCTGCAGTTCTCTGCTTCTAGATTCTTGTTGCTCTTTTAAATAAATCGTTAAAATTCACTGATTCTCTGTGTGATTCTAATTGTGGGTCAAAAAACTACAAATCAACTTGACATATGCTGTTTTAAACATCAGCTTTAATGAATTAAACTCTAATATTCAGACTCATAGTACTTAGTTCTTATTCAGTTCTTCTGTTCCTAATTTACATCCTGTATTTGTTTTAATCCCGAACTCAAAAGAACCCAGCTGAATGACGAATTATGGTTCCCATGGGGAGTGAATACACATCTTTCAGAAAATTATCATCTTACTATAAGCACAAACTGCAGGAGTGGTCGCAGTGGCAACAGTCACTGATTTCTATGTCCTGCCACGGCACTGGAGTTAGTTTCAAACAGCCTGTGACTGATTTCCATGTCCTGCAACTGCAGCGGAGTGGGTGCCAAAAAGTCTGGCACTGATTTCCATGTCGTGCCAGGGCACCAGAGTGGGTGTCAGACAGCCTGCCGCTTATAGCCATGTCCTGCCACGGCACCGGAGCAGGTGCCAAACAGTCTGCCGCTTATTTTCATGTCATGCCACGTCACCGAAGCAGGTGCCAAGCAGTCTGCTCCTGATTTTCATGTCCTGCCACGTCACCGGAGCGGGTGCCAAACAGTCTGCCGCTGATTTTCATGTCCTGCAACGGCACGGGTGCGGGTGCCAGACAGCCTGCTGCTGATTTCCATGTCCTGCCATGTCACTGGAGCAGGTGCCAAACAGTCTGCTGCTGATTTTCATGTCATGCCACGTCACCGGAGCAGGTGCCAAACAGTCTGCCGCTGATTTTCATGTCCTGCCACGGCACCCGAGAGGGTGCCAAACAGCCTGCCACTGATTTCCATATCCTGCCACGGCACCGGAGCGGGTGCCAAACAGTCTGCCGCTGATTTCCATATCCTGCCATGGCACCGGAGCGGGTGCCAAACAGTCTGCCGCTGATTTCCATGTCCTGCCACGGCACCGAAGCGGGTGCCAAACAGTCTGCCGCTGATTTCCATGTCCTGCCACGGCACCGGAGCGGGTGCCAAACAGTCTGCCGCTGATTTTCATGTCCTGCCAAGGTATTGTAGTGGGTACCAGACAGGCTGCCACTGATTTCCATGTACTGCCAGGGCATCGGAGCGGGTGCCAAACAGTCTGCCGCTGATTTCCATGTCCTGCCAAGGTATTGTAGTGGGTACCAGACAGGCTGCCACTGATTTCCATGTACTGCCAGGGCATCGGAGCGGGTGCCAAACAGTCTGCCGCTGATTTCCATGTCCTGCCAAGGTATCATAGTGGGTGCCAAACAGTCTGCCGCTGATTTCCATGTCCTGCCAAGGTATCATAGTGGGTGCCAAACAGTCTGCCGCTGATTTCCATGTCCTGCCAAGGTATCATAGTGGGTGCCAAACAGTCTGCCGCTGATTTCCATGTCCTGCCAAGGTATCGTAGTGGGTCCCAGACAGTCTGCTGCTGATTTCCATGTCCTGCCAAGGTATCGTAGTGGGTCCCAGACAGCCTGCCGCTGATTTCCATGTCCTGCCAAGGTATCGTAGTGGGTCCCAGACAGCCTGCCGCTGATTTCCATTTTCCTGCCAAGGCATCCTAGTGGGTGCCAGACAGCCTGCCGCTGAGTTACATGTCCTGCCACGGCAGTCTATTTTGACTTTTTAAAATACAGCCGCGCTGAAACAGACTGGTGCCAAAAAAATGACTTTTGAGGGTAGAGTTACATTTCTCAGAGTACTTAATATGGACAAGAGAATAAAAAATTAAACCCATGCAGAATTGAATGGGTGATTACGATGACTGCGCTAATAAAGTTATGCCAGCCAATGTAACTGCAAGGAGTAGCCCCATTTACACTACCCACTGAAAACCAATCTGTGCTGAGCTTGGATTTGTTATCTGAGAACCAAGCTAGAACTGAACCACCCTGAGCCCTACTGATGAAATAGTACCAGGATAGTGTGGTTCAGTCGTGCCTGGCACGGTCCGGTTCAACCTTGCGTGCTATTTAAACTCAACAGTTCTCTCAGATACTGTGCTCGGACCGATATCGGCACGGTTTCAAAATGCTAGTGTAAATGGGGCTTCTGTCTACCATGGCATCTTTTGACATCCTATTTTATCTTTGTGGCCAGGGAATTCTACAGACTACCACCATGTTTTAAAGTGATTTTTTTTTCTTTAACAACTCACAATAAGCTCTCACACTGTATAATAAAATGACTGATTGTGCAGGGAGTCTTTGCCATCCTTTCAGCACGTCATATACAGCATTTTGACACCTTGTGGCAGGTGTCTGGCAAAACTTCCATAAGCTTTTATTATACATAATATAAATAAAGTATGTTTTTTTTGGAAGTAGTTTTAGACTAACAGGTGTGTGGCAACAGCCGTGGCACCTTTTTGAGTTGCATTCCAGTGAGAGAACCTCTGGAAGTGCCACTATTCTTCAGCTGCCACCAGAAGTGCCACGGCCAGATGCTGCTGCCACAAATTGAACTCAGCCCGGCTGACAGATTATTTATGATAAAGCTCCCAGCATTTACAGACACCGACAGCTTAGGTATTATTATGGAACATGTGGGTGCTACCTATCTTACCCTTGGAAAAGTATTAATGCCCCCTTGGTATTTTATTTCTAAGAGGCTTGAAAAAACCTGAGAAAATTTGTATGTGCACATTTGTATGTAGTATATAATCTTATTGCTACCTGTGGGTAATCGGTCTCATGGCCTTTTGTGAAACTTCACTGAATGAAAAATAAGGAGCAAAAAACAATTCAGGGACAAAGAAAGACAAAAGCAGAGGGATAAAAGCAGGAGAGGTTTTAAAACATATCCAAATTTTTGATGTTCTTTCAGAGTGCTATTGAATCCAACTCCTTCAGATAGAAAACATATGGTATCACAAATAACCTTCCCAGAGAGGGCCGCTTAGAACATTCCTGTCACAGTTATGAAACAAAAGTGTTAAAGTCAAATAAACAATTGTATTATTATTCTGTCAGTCACTTTTAAATAAGAAGTTGTTTTCTGAACAGATATGTTAAAGCATACCACTTTTATTGAATTATTGATATTTCATTGTCTGTCATTAACTGTTTCAATATAAAATAAATATGAAAACCTGAGTTTTTAATACCGATTATCTGTCTCAAACAGGGAGTGGCAATCATCTCTCTCTTCTTCATCCTGTTGTCTATCACTACCTTCTGCTTGGAGACCCATCAAGCCTTTGACGTAGAGGAAAACTTTACTGAACTAGTTACCGATGGAAACATCACAAAGGTGGAGAATAGGACTGAGAATGTCACAAACCCAAAACTTGTTATGGTGGAAGGAGCATGTGTGGTGTGGTTTACCTTTGAATTCCTGGTTCGAATCATCTGCTGCCCGATCAAACTGGCCTTCATCAAAAACACACTCAACATCATTGACTTTGTTGCCATTCTGCCGTTCTACCTTGAGATGAGTTTGAGAGGTTTGTCATCCAAAGCAGCCAGTAACGTGCTCGGTTTTCTCCGAGTGGTGCGCTTTGTGAGGATTTTACGGATCTTTAAGCTCACACGTCACTTTGTAGGACTGCGTGTCCTGGGTCACACGCTAAGAGCCAGTGTTAACGAATTCCTCCTGCTTGTTATATTCTTGGCGCTGGGAGTACTCATCTTTGCCACAATGATTTACTACGCCGAGCGCATCGGAGTCATCTACAACCCCAGGATTGAAAACGACTTCAAAAACATCCCCATCAGCTTCTGGTGGGCAGTGGTTACAATGACGACACTGGGCTACGGAGACATGGTTCCAAAGACCTGGCTGGGTATGATGGTGGGGGCACTGTGTGCGCTGGCTGGCGTGCTGACTATCGCTATGCCTGTTCCCGTGATTGTCAACAATTTTGGAATGTACTACTCTCTGGCTATGGCGAAGCAAAAACTGCCAAAAAAGAAAAAGAAGCACACCCAAAATCCAGATGCACCAACCGACTCGGCCTCATTTATGAAATCAGAAACAAACTCACACATAGACAGCACTCAGAGTGACACGTGTCCACTGGCAGCTGAAGAGAGCAGCAGCAGGAACCGCTCAGGTAAGGTAAAAATGTCTTGTTAAAGGGATGGCTCAACCAAAATAGCGTGTTCTGTAATCTTTACATTATCAAAAGAACAGATAGTTACAAACTGCAAACTATCTAAACATCTTGTTTGCAGTTGGTAACTCTGGCGTTAGGACTGAGCAATATGTAATCATTTGCTGTAACATTAAGCATATCACAAATAAATGAACTGCTAAACCTGTTGAGAAAATATTTTTGTACGTTCAAGCTTTCTATGCCTGTAATATAATTGTTAAAAGTTGTAAGAAGAAACTAAAACCAAGACTGTCCTAAAGTAACCCGGTACATACTTTTTTGATAAGCCCTTATTTTCTTTCTTTATCCTGATAGTCTGCTTTTTATCTCAAAGAAAGATATGAACAAATTTTAATTTGTTTCATTTTATGTTATTATGACAATTGCCAATATTCTTGCATATTGCTTCTTTTCTTGACATCTTGCAGCTGTACATGATATTACTAGTCTTAGAGGGTCAATGTTCAAAATTTGATCTCTAATCAGTAATCAGACAGGACAGAGGATATGATAGCCCTTGTATATAGAATACCCTCTGCAATAATTTAATATAGTGCCTCACCTCTTAAAAATCCATATCAGATGGTATCTTTCAATAGCAACTCTTTATACAGAAGCAGAATCAATATTAAAGTGGAAATAAAACGATGAGCCAAACTAGCTAAATTTACGAGATCGTGTCTTACTATTATAAATAATTATATGACACGTGAAAAATATAAATGTACAAGAAAAAAATGAAGCATTGTTTTATTAATTTATGGCATGGGCGATGCCATGTTGCAGCACCCAATGTGGTACTCAAGGTTGGTTCGCTCTGTGGTTGAATACCTGGAGATACCTCTCAATTGTAAAACACTTAAGAAATTTTATATGATGGAAAGGTATGATGCTCAACACAGAGACGTACAACCATACACACACACTCACACCTAAGGAGAATATAGAGATGCCAATTAACCTAATAGTTATGTTTTTGGACTGTGGGAGGAAGCCGGAGTACCCACGCATGCATGAGGGGAACATGCAAAGTCCATACGACATTACCTGAAACCTTGTTGTTGCAAGGCAACAGTGCTACAATCCGAGCCACCCTGCAGCCCCTATGTTTGTCACATAATTTTCATAGTTAAGAGACAATCTCATGAACTAAGTTAGTTTGTTTAACTGTTTAATTTCCACTTGAATGGCCAGGTTTGTGTTTACAAACAAGAAATTAGATTTAGGTTTTTTTTTTGCCCACATTCTAATCAACATAGCAGTATATACTTGTACATAAACAGAGTAAGCCAGTTTTGATAGAGCAAAAGCCCTGGTTATTATAGCAGAATGTTCTCAGCTCATATGTAACCCAGGATAATCATTTTTAGCTCCCCTCTATTTCACATTAGAGTTAGTATCTGCTCCAATTTAAATAAACACCAAATACAACAATGATAAGGGTTTCAGTTATCAAAACAGCTTTAATATAAACAACTATAAAATTTAAATACAAAGGGGTTTTAAGACAGTCAAAGGTGGCCTATCCTAGCCACAAGTTTCAAGCTCAAATAGTCTTAATTTTTTTTTACATTAAGATGAAAAGAGTTATCTACTGCCAGCACACATAACTAGTTATAAACCTCTAACAGATATTCTTCGAAAAAAATCCTTGACATTGCTTTTAAAGTCTCACTTAGGTTGAAATTGTATCTATTTGAGAAAAAACAAATAGGCTATTTGAGATAATACCCCCAAAAAATAACAAAAAAAGAAAAAAAGAAAATCTGCCTAGTACATAACGGTACATACAAATTTTGAAACAGGATTCATTTGGAAATTGATTTTCATTAGATATGTAAAGATATTTTTATACATTTAATTTAGAAAAGGCTAATTCATCAGCTGGAAAAAATACCCTTTATTTCTCTTTCATTTGCTTAACTTGTTTTTAATTGGGTGATGTCATTGTTTATAGACATATAAATTATGTTTTAATATAATTTCTTAGTTTTTAATGATTATTTCCCTCTTGAATGGAGTGCAACATTTATATTGATTACTCAGATCTTCTAAAGCGTAGTAATCCTAGAGTACCAACTGTTTTTGACTTTCATATTCGTGGATTTGGTCTGACAAATGCTATAAGCTTAGTCATAAAGACAGCAATGCAACATACCTCAACCTTTGTCTGTGTCTTTGGAGATCCCTCTGTAAAAGCTTTGCTGCCTATGTTATGCTATTTCTGTTGAACTTTTGTCTTCTTGTCAGACTCCAAACAGAACGGGGATGCAAATGTTGCCCTTTCAGATGAGGAGGGCTGCAGTCTTACCCAGCCGCTGTCCCCCAGTGAAAAGTGGTCCATGCGGTGCTCCAGAGGACGCGGCAAGAATAAGGAGGGCACCTGCTTCCTCTTAACATCTGGGGATCTCAACATCCATGTTGGTGAGTTACATATTCACTTTTATTTCATTTGTTATACTTTCTCTGTTTAGTTTGGCTCTGTTTAGTTGGATTCAGTTTGTTTTGATTCATTGCAGTTCAATTCATTCTATTTAATTTTGGTTACTAGTTTAATATCAGTCTAATCCTTAATAATCCATTTCAGATCCATACATTTAGTCTAGGCTGAGTTTTTTTTTACTCAGTTTATTCCTGTTGAATGTAACTCAGGACTATATAGTATATCTACGATTGGGCTGGCTGGCTGGCTGGCTGGCTGGCTGGCTGGCTGGCTGGCTGGCTGGCTGGCTGGATGGATGGATGGATGGATGGATGGATGGATGGATGGATGGATGGATGGATGGATGGATGGATGGATGGATGATTAAAACATAATTCAATCACATGTGCTAGACCAGAGGTCACGGATTAGTGGATCGCGGTCCAGATCCAGACCCAGACCCACCTGCTTGCTAATCCGAACCCAACCTTATTTAAAACATTTATAAATTACCACATGTTGTCTGACAACAGTGTTTAACTTTACTTGCGCCGCTTCTCCTGTTACGAAATCCCACATCCTCCGTCACTGCTTCACCCTGCAGCGCTCCAGACCTCCTGCGCAAAGCAAAGCCTACAGCCTTCGCTGTTCCTCTCGTATTGCTGCGCTTCGACTTAGCTTGAGGAGAGCATGCACGATATTATCATAAAATTCGTAGGAGCAAAACATGCAGAAATGAATGCTTAATTTAATATGAAATATAAAAAAAAACCCATCAGCATCCAGCATATGTGCTGTTTCGGATGGAGATAAGAAATCTGCTTCCTGGGCTGTTGAAGTACCAATAGCTTGCATCCAATCTTTTAAATAAACAGTGTTAGTTTTTTGAAATATATATATGCTCTAATGTGTAGTTACCAATCTGGTGTTACTATATTTTAATTAGACAAACAGGATCTTCTGGCCTTTTTTTTCCTGTTTGGTGCGATTGCAATAGTGGATCTTGACCTGGCCGGACGGGAGCAGAGCCTGAACATTTTGAGTATGTTTGGATCAACCTGCTGTTGTAAAGCAGGATTTTCCACCATGAACATAGTCAAAAATAAATATGGATCCAGGCTCAAAATGAGCACCTTGATATGTGCTTGAGAATGGCTTTGTTTCCATTCAAACCCAGATTTAAAGCCTTGTAGGGCAGCATAAAGCCCACTGCTCTCATTAGACCATAAAAAAGGAAAGAAAAATAACAAACGGTCAGTTCAGGTGTTTTATAAAATATGGTAATCAGGAAATTTTCTATATACCAAACCGAAAGATTGTTGTTCTCTACCTCAAAAAACACTTTAGATTTTGAAATTTTCTATTTTTGTTTTCAATTTTTTTATTTAAAAATTCATTGTATAACACGGATGCATGAACACCTCATTTTATTTCAGTGTTAAATTCTGTTTAAAGTAACAGCTCATTAAAAATGTCTCCAGATCTTTACTGGTTGATGATTTTCTTTATTCGGACCCTGCTGATTTTGAATTGGTTACCCCTGTACTAGACTAATGATCCAGTAGGTTCTTGTACCTGTTTTATGGGCGTAAAATTCTGATTTTTAATGACTGTGTTTTAGATGATGACTGAAAGCAGTAGAGAAGCCACAAGCAGATATAAAACTGGAAACAATGCATTTTTAGAAAACTAATGCGGTTGCAAAACATAAATTGTATGTATGTTGCCAACAGCTTGCACACAAAGAACATAAAAATCCCTTTGAGTCCTTTACTGCATCAGTTATAAACAAAGACATAAAGGAAAATTCAAGGTCTTTAGTGGCTTGCATTTGTAACCAGTTTTACAAAGTCTGTCTCATTACTGTGTCTGATCTTAACTTTAAACGGAAACTAAGCTTAATTTAAACCAAGAAGAAACTGTCATCAGTGTATGCTTCCTTGCTCTTGCAGCTCTGCATCATGTTTTTACCATTCAGATCAATGGAAAATCAATGAAAGAGCTTTGGAGCACTAATTGCATCATCTATCTGTGTGTGCTGACTAAAAATAATGTGTCTCATGAGACACTGCTGATTTGAGACATCTATAACAGCAGACCAAAACCTGCCTTGTGTTTGATGTGAACAAGGTCTGTGCATTGCAGAAATGAAAGTAGAAATCATATGATAGACACAGTAATGCAGAGAAAAAAAGGATGTGTTGTTATTTTGTTTTAATCCTCACTGTTGATGGGAGTGTGGCAAAATGGTGAGATCAAAATAGTTTCCTGACTAAATCACGAAAAAAGATTATAGTTGCAGCTTATCTGTCTGCAAAGGGATTCATGAAGAAACTTAAAAGATATTTGATCAATTACTCCACTGTATAAAGCACAGCCCACCACTGGTTGACATTCAAAAAAACTCAAAATATGTGCCATCTAAGAAGCTTGCTGTAGTGGACCTACAACAGAGAGGTCTGTTGCTCATTTGAATTCATATAACTTTACAATTAGATACAGACTGTCCAAGTTTAAATTTAGTCCTTGGATGTAACATTCTCTCTCCCAGAAATACACTAGTGAAGCAAAAACTGAGACAAAGACCAAGATTTCTTGAAATGTTCTTCATAAAAATGAGTCTAAAAACCTAGTTATTAGTTATTTGGGACTGGAAGGGGGAATTGCTTCAGCAGGACCTGGTAAAAAGAGGCTCATTTTAGCCAAAGGGGGTTAAACAAGATATAAATTGGCAAATTTCCTTAACTTTTTGCCTAATCTGAATACTGTTTTAATTCAATCACTTTTTAAAAAAAAAAACCTTCTTCCCAGATTTAAATAAATGAAGATTATACTTAAATATAACCTCTTTCCCACTTAAATTAACGGGTTAACACAGATATTTCAAACATGGGTCGACCCCGTAACACTTAAAATTTGGCTTCCTTCACATTGGCCATAAAAAGCTGGGTGTGTCCCCTTGCTGGCAAGCTGTGCGTCCTCTGTCCTCCCACTGGTGCTTGTCTGTTGGTGCCATCATGCTTGGTTAGCACTGATGATGTCCCCAGTGGGACAGGAATCAGGTAAGTAAACAATGGAGAGTACCATGGAGAGAAGCCAGGGTCTTGTAAGTGTGTTTTATTATTTTGTTCTTTATCCATACAAATCTTTCTCACCAGTGCTGCGCCATGTTTATCGAATGTGAACAGAGCTGTTTAGGCTTTTTAGATTGGACGCAAATGGCATGCTTTCTCGTACGTACATTGTGTTCAATGGTGTCAAGTAAATTATTAGGTCTGATATTTCCACTGTATGCCTATTGGAGCTAAGCTATTTCAAGGCGATTTTAACCCAGCTTTTTTGGCAATTGTTTGATGCCGGTTGGCACGGGTTAGTGAGCTGTTCCCACTTACACAAAAAAAAAGATTTTTCCTGGCTTTAAATGGGTTTTTTGACCAGTGGAAAAGGGATATATGGGAACTTTTTTGATAAAGCTAAAACATTGGTTTGCCCTAGTTAATTTGCAGTTGTTGTAGGGCAATGTGTTGCAGTATGCAACATATCTTAAAGGTCAAATGTTAAAGAGTGCATCCAGAACAGTTTCATCATGTGTGATGGTAGATTCAACTTTCTTTTCTCTATGTGGTTGGTCTAAATTGCGCTTAAAATGCTCCAAGTAATAAAAATCGAGAGAATTTTACAGTATGCTGTGCACCTTTAGCAATCCCCGACTGTGATGTCAGTGTAGTCAAACATCCTCTCTAAGCATTAGTTGGATTTAATATACAAAAGTTGCAAGAGCTTGTTTTCTCTGTTCATAAAATGCCTGATGGCAATAAAGCTATTTCAAATCATTGTTTATTTTTTATGAAATATTTATTTCATAAAACAACAAACCTTAGTTACAGTTACCGGAAGCGAAGACCCACAGCTCAAACTCCACCGGCCCAGAGCCATGAGCCGAACCGGGTAAAAACCACATCCGAAGGGCAATGTTTCCCTCCTGGACAGCAGAAAAGACCCAGTGCTTGGACCGCTCACTGCGATCGTGTTACCAAGGGACCGCCTTCCCTGTCCAGGCACAGCAGGGCTGCACAGTCTGCTATGCAGAACCGCCAGCGCCGCACAAAGGGCTCCAACACTGACTGCGAACCGAACCGAACCAGAGATCCAATCCCAATCCCGTTATCCCCTCTTCATACAAAGGTTAGACTCTGGTTTAAACTAATTAAAGCTGAACTCTGTACGTTTTTAAAAATCACTTTTTTGTCATATTGGCTAAAACTGTCCCTATGCCCAGACAGCAGTACATGTGATATGTAACCTGTGAAAAAAACTGCTTCAATTGGTCCCGCCTACTGCCTGTATTGCAATCTGGAAAGAATATTTCGGGACGAGACAAAACAACCAATCACAGCCAGAGGAGCGTCTGATGGAGTGTCAATCACAGCTCACACACGCTGAATCCCGCCCCCTCCCTCTCACCGCTGAACCTGCCGCTGCAGCCCGGCTGCTGCAGTCAGGAGGACGCGCGTGGAAGTCATGGCGGAGCGACAGCCACCAGCGAAAGAGAAACTGCCCTTACTGCCCCTGCCGACAACTGTTTACACGGCAAAGACTTCAAAAAAGAAGATGTCAATGGAAGAGCTGCCGCGTACGCTGCTTGGACGCTTCTGGTTGCATGGGGTAGCCGCGCAGATGCTGTGAGAGGGATGGAGCTTGGAGGTGGGGCATGAGTGAAGCAGAGAGGGTGGGGGAGTGGCGTGAAACCTGTTTTTCTTCAAATTTTTAGTCGAAGTCTGCTCTCTTCTCAATGTAACAGACTGCAGCTTAAAAAAAAAACAAAAAACAAAAAAAAAACAGCATCATAAGGAAATTGTTCTGAAAGATAATGGACTTCTACTGGCTCTGCGTAAGATCATAGAACGTTTAGCATTAATAAAATCACTAAGACTCTGATTGCTTTGTATTTGTCCTCGTTAAAGGATAAAAACTCCATCACAAAGGTAAATAAATATTAACTCGCTATGTAAAATTACTACATGCTGACTAAACTGACGTCACAGCATCCCTCAGTGGGTCACGTGACCGAGTGAGGAATTTTGGGTTGTCTGCTATCTTAGTGAATTATTTTAGGCTATAAACAACAAAATCCTGGACATTTTTTTCCACTTGTGATGTATTTAAATTTGTACATACTATCAAATTAGAAACTATAAGTATGTGTTTTCTGTTTGAACTTTTTAGTGTCTCTGCTTGAATGAAGTCTACAATTTTTGAAGTATCCCAAAGCTGCGTTAAAAGAAGGTCTTTGATCCAGTAATATTCCTTACATCTAAATCGAAGATTCCACCTTTTTTACAGACATATCCAGACACCCACAAAATGCTTTCTTTGCACTTCGCTAAAATGCATGTCTTTCTGAGAGGTCATTAGCATTATTGCTACTGGAGAAACAAAAGCAGGCCTCATAAACGAGGCACTTACTACAGCATGGGGCCCGAGAGAGTTGCATGTTTTTTTTTTCAATAGCCCATTACATGGACAATGTACTTGAATGTATTTCTTGAAAGCTTCATCCCTCACTGAGTGTTGATTAATGTGGTTAGCTGCAGGCTGGCGACATGTTGAAACAGGCAGACGGAAAATACTATCAGTTTTGCTAGATAGAGTTGAATCTCTGTATACCTGACATAACCATTTTTTATCCTGTGAGATTAAATTTCTCCTGTTTTAAAGTAGAGTTGAAAAATAATTGTCTTTTTTTAATCTACTTTTTTCAAAGTCAAAAGATTGTGTACAATACAGTTGCTTTTGTTTATATGACTTCATGGAAATCAGCAAGACATGTTGAAGATCACTGTGGACCTCTCTACATCAGGTTCAACTTTGAGTAAAATTTCCAGATTCTTGAACCTGCAGTGCTATATGTCTACCCGTTCAAAATGTAAGAGCCATTGCTATGGGTATGTCCAGCTTTCTGTTTAGGAAAGAGACTAGTTCTTGGTCCCAAAAACATATGGGTTTTTGTGTGAAAAGCATCAGTCAACCCCTGAACAAAAAACAAAACACCTCATTAAGATGACAGCTGAAGCAGGTTTAAAAAACAAGTTTTATAATGGCATGGACTGAAGCGCCCTTCAGCAAGGAAGAAGCCACCACTGCCAAGATAGCATCAAACACCAGATTATAGTTGGCAAATGAACTTAAGGACAAATATCCTTAGGAACGTGGTCTTTCTGTTGTGTCATAAAACTAAAATGGAACTGTTTTGATATACTAAAAAATATGGCATTTAGAGGAAAAAGGGGAGACCTGGTAGATCTTAGAACAGTGTTCCAAATGGGAAACAGTTACAAAAATTCCCAATATAAATAAAGTAAAAGAAAATAATTATAGTAAACCTAACCAGCTAAAAATATAAAGGTTGAATCTGATTTAATATCTGACAGTAAGAGTCTGTTGATACAGCTTATATAGACATTAATTTCCACTGTAATAAAGTTGAACAACGGTTATGTTCATATAAAAAGGTTGATCGAAAAATTATCGAAAAATTTGAAAAAACATATTTCAACAGTTTGAATCATTTTTACATTGATGCCATCTCAATTAATTGTCATGCAGGTCTGTTTCTGAAAAAGAGACAAAAATGACAGAATGCTGATGAAAGCCAGAGCAGCCCAGAACTAATGTATGATGGAAAGAAGAGCGAGTTAATTCAATCCAGTGCCCTGTATCTGATGAGCATCTGCATAACATCCTGTCATATTACAGGGTCGTTTCACATGCATTTGAACTCTTATTAGCCAACATTATCTGGAAAACATTTTATTCTCTCACATTTCCCCCCTGCTGAAAAGCTTAAATGCAGTTTTTGAACTAGTAGGCTACGCTTAGCCTGATTTGTTTTTATATGACTTGTTGATAATTTAGCTTATATTCTGTTTTTGGTAAATTATGTTTGGCAAAATATACAGTTTATTGCCATTGAATTTTTAAACATTTCCACCACAGGTGATACATGTTAACCGTCAATATCAGAAAAAATTAGGAAAGTTTTTGTAATTTTTTTTCTAATTCTAAATTCTCTCCAAGAATAAAAAAGAATGTTTCTGTGGCTGCAACTGTTTTCAGCAGGTTCGATGTAAATAGATTATGACCCAGTGGATCTGTTCTTCAGTACTGTGCCCATGGGGGATTGGGATGCTGGTTGATACCAGAGAGTTACAGGGTAAAAGGTATGGATTATATTTCTCTAAGGACGTATGACTTGCAGTAGAGATAAGGACAGATGGACATCTGAAGATGCTCTCAGATAGCCAACAGTAAATGGAATGCTTGCAGAGGTACAAACAAACAAATGGAGGACTTGAAAGTAGTCAACACAGAAAGCCTTTTCAGTACTTAGTGTTATGATTTTATACTGTACATATAAAAACAAACACTCCCTAAATGCATGCACAGAGTGCAACTTCAAGTAGTATTCAAGCAGAGGAAATGCTTCAGAGGATCAGAGTAATCTTTATATTCCTGGGGGACTCTTCTGAATGAACTGAATTCCCACTGTAGATTTCCATTAACAGTACAGAGATGCAAAGCAGAGACTTTAGTCAACTTCAGATGTTCGTTTGTCTGTGATGAACTGATACTTAAATAAGTTGCACATAGGTTTATGTTTTAACTACTAAATTTAGTCACAGAAAAAACACTTTCAGAAAGTTTTGGAGTACCTTTCAGTTTAACAAACCGTTCTACCAACAGAGACAACTCATCAGGTTTTGTGAAAGATCAAATCCTTTAAGCTTTAACTAAGGTCCTTTAGGCAGTAGGGATCTGACAATATAGGTTGATTTTAAAAAGTTTACATATGAAAAAAAAATATATTTTTTGACACTCATTTCAGAAGGTTAACGTCATGAGTTACATAGATTAATACCTACAGAGGGAGTGTTGGCCTAGTGGTTAGAGCAGTGCGCTTGTGCTCTGAGAAGTTTGCAAGTACCCAGTTTGATCCCCACAGCCTCCACTCTGGGCTCCTGAGTCATTTTTGATCATTAGCACTTACAGACAATAAAACCAAGCCCTTTGTAAAAAGCAGAAACTAACTTTTTTCGTGTCATGTCTACTTTTATTTTTCTCAACAGAAGACTGTAAAGATATTCTTGGTACTGCTGGAAACTATACCCAGCCCGAGGTCACCACTCTGACCTGATGACTTGCTTAAAATAAGGAGGAGGCGACGTGACGTCTGCTGCGGTGTATGCTGGATCCCTGCTGTTTAGATCAACTGCAGAGCCAATTATTGTACTTCTAAATGAATCCTCTCTGTTTTTACCTATACAGGTGCTGGTCATAAAATTAGAATATCATGAAAAAGTAGATTGATTTCAGTAATTCCATTTAAAAAGTGAAACTTGTATATTATATTCATACATTACATACAAACTCATATATTTCAGATGTTTATTTTGTTTAATTTTGATGATTACAAATGACAACAAATGAAAATCTCAAATTCATCATATCAGAAAATTAGAATATTACTGAAGACCAATAAAAACAAAGGATTTATAGAAATGTTGGCCAACTGAAAAGTATGAACATGAAAAGTATGAGCATGTACAGCACTCAGTATTTAGTTGGGCCTCCTTTGGCCTGTATTACTGCAGCAATGCGGCGTGGCATGGAGTCGATCAGTCTGTGGCACTGCTCAGGTGTTATGATAGCCCAGGTTGCTCTAATAGTGGCTTTTAGCTCTTCTGAATTGTTGGGTCTGGTGTATTGCATCTTCTTCTTCACAATACCCCATAGATTTTCTATGGGGTTAAGGTCAGGAGAGTTTGCTGGCCAATTAAGAACAGGGATACCATGGTCCTTCAACCAGGTACTGGTAGCTTTGGCACTGTGTGCAGGTGCCAAGTCCTGTTGGAAAATGAAATCTGCATCTCCAAAAAGTTGGTCAGCTGCAGGAAGCATGAAGTGCTCTAAAACTTCCTGGTATGTGGCTGCGTTGACCCTGGACCTCAGAAAACACAATGGACCAACACCAGCAGATGACATGGCACCCCAAACCATCACTGACTGTGGAAACTTTACACTGGACTTCAAGCAACGTGGATGAAGTGCCTCTCTTCTTTTCCTCCAGACTCTGGGACCTTGATTTCCAAAGGAAATGCAAAATTTACTTTCATCAGAGAACATGACTTTGGACCACTCACCAGCAGTCCAGTCCTGTTTCTCTTTAGCCCAGGCAAGACGCTTCTGACGCTGTCTGTGGTTCAAGAGTGGCTTGACACAAGGAATGCGACAGCAGAAACCCATGTCTTTCATACGTCTGTGTGTGGTGGTTCTTGAAGCACTCACTCCAGCTGCAGTCCACTCTTTGTGAATCTCCCCCACATTTTTGAAGGGGTTTTGTTTCACAATCCTCTCCAGGGTGCGGTTATCTCTCTTGCTTGTACACTTTTTTCGACCACATCTTTTCCTTCCCTTCGCCTCTCTATTAATGTGCTTGGACACTGAGCTCTGTGAACAGCCAGCCTCTTTAGCGATGACCTTTTGTGTCTTGCCCTCCTTGTGCAAGGTGTCGATGGTCGTCTTTTGGACAACTGTCAAGTCAGCAGTCTTCCCCATGATTGTGTAGCCTATAGAACTAGACTGAAAGACCATTTAAAGGCTTTTGCAGGTGGTTTGAGTTAATTAGCTGATTAGAGTGTGGCACCAGGGGCCATCAATTTTGAACCTTTTCACAATATTCTAATTTTCTGATATGATGAATTTGAGATTTTCATTTGTTGTCATTTGTAATCATCAAAATTAAACAAAATAAACATCTGAAATATATGAGTTTGTATGTAATGTATGAATATAATATACAAGTTTCACTTTTTAAATGGAATTACTGAAATCAATCTACTTTTTCATGATATTCTAATTTTATGACCAGCACCTGTACCAAGAACCATGTAACATATCTGACCACGGGTGGATATATGCAGTGATGATTTCAAAGCACTTTGCATGTATTGCATGATTTAACGTTGTACTAGAGATGCACCAGGATACCCTTACAACATACTGGGCATCATAGTTCCTTTCAAAGGCCCAAAAGCCATTTCTCAATCTTCTTCTTTGCTGTGGGGTCATAGAATATTTGAGACAAATTTCCTGTTTTCAGCTCAAAAGAGAAAAACCTATGTTTTAAAGAAAATAATTTGAGAAGATTTAGAATACTAATAGAAGATTTAGAATACATCAAAATTTATGTCAGCACTTTTTTCTGTTAATTTCGGTTTATTTCTCAAAGGGGGAGTTTATCACACTCTAAACAATTTTTTACTTTTATATACTTGAATTCAACATCAACTCATGGTCTCCTGACGGGTCAAAAAACAAGCAAGAAACAAACAAACAACATTCCAAACATGGTTTGTTACATCTTTTTTAAACCTACATTTCTAGTCCTGGGATTAAAGCCTATACAGAATCAGATGCACAGATAACTATCATGGGAACATAATGTCATAATAATTTAGTTTATTTTAGGATTTATTTGAACTGTACATTTTTCATGATGTATTGATGCTACAACATTCAGCTTCATTAATGTGTAACAACAAGAATTAATTATACAAGGAGCTCAAATTGTATGCACACACCAACAGAACTTTTTTTTTATAGTCTTTGTAACATTTCAGAGAAAACCCACTATTCCTGACGCCATTAAAAAGCTTCAGGGTTAACTTGGACAACAGATACTGCCAGTCTTATCAGAATTGTTGATTCATTTAAACAGGTACCTTATTGAAACATATTTTGGCTATAAAGCAGAATCCATCATTTTTTGTATAGTCTTGAGGTTGAGCTTGGAGAGAGAATCTCCAAAGCTCAGTCTTAGCCTGTTTTATCCATCCCGAAAACAGTTTTGGGTTATTGCATTGCTGGAACACTGACAGCACATAACTTGTAAGGATATTTATTAACAGCACTCAAGCAGTAAAGATCAAGGCTTAACAGTATCCTTGTGACCTAGAAACTGGAAAAAGCCATGGATTGATACTGTAATATGACCATAAAACAAGCATTCAACCTGATGGCAGTTTTTGGTCAGATGAGGAAAAGATTAAACAGTTTGCCCAATCTGGCTAGAAGATTCCTATGATATCTCAAGGTGAGTCTTCCAATGATCAACTGCCCTGCCAAGGGTTTCACGTAGGATCAACAGATGGAGGCGGATATTCCAAAAAAAACACAAGCCCAAATACTTCTTGCATGGTGGCACAGCGAGGGGATCCTGAGTTTGACCCCTTACCTAATATCATGATTCCCTCTGGATAATTGAACTTCATACTTCAGCTTCCTCCCACAGTCCCAAAAAATATGTGTGTTAGGTCAAAGTATGTCACAAATTTGCTCCCTATTTTGCAAACGTCCAATGCCCAATGATTGCTGGTGATACACTTCAACCCCCCATTACCCTGATGGACAAGCTGTATAGAAAATGGATTGGTTAATGTCTGTGTTGAATCATGTTTGAATAACATGGACCCTTTTAGATTAAAAGAAAAACAACAATAATGGCAAACTCAGTCGGTGCTGTTAGAAAGACATTGAAGTTGTATGTTGTCTCTTCATTCAACAGATCAAACAAATCAGTAAAATCCTAATATAATTCCACATACATACATAACGACCTGTTAATCTAAACCATTTATCCGAACTCTAAGTGTGTTTAAGAGACCTTTAAGCGTAGATTATCATATTTTTCACTGTTTGCCTTCTGCTGTGTCACTGCCTTCTTACTCTAGTAAAACGTGTTTATCTAGCACATCACAGAAAGAAATCTACATATGTAATGTGTAACTTGTAAGTGCTTGTAAATTAGGGCAGTTTGACAGAAGCTGGAGAAAAAATATCTGTGGAGCAGTATTGTCTGTTTACTATGTTAGCTCAGCGCAGCTGACGCATCATCACTGGTTGACTCTGGACCAAAATACAGACTATTAGATTATTTGGTAGATTTTCAGTACTCGCTGGTAAAAACACATACAGTATAATACCATCAGTTCCGCTCGTGCCTCATGGTGATTTATGGAGTTTAGATGTCTGTAATGTAATCAGCTTGCCTTTTGCTGCCTCAGAACCCAGAAGCAGTAAAAAATGGTTTCTTTACATGTATTTATATTGTATTCCTCATGCTCTACCATAGTGGCCTTATGTTTAATAAAGCAAAAGGGAAATTCATTTATGTCTTTAAACTATTTCTACACTGAAGCTGATGTCTGTAATAGCAGCTATAAGTATGTAGCACAGTACAATATAATAGACGATTACCTGTAAAGTATGTTTATGGATCATGATATAATTGTTAACCAACAATGAGAGATTATTATTTTGAATATTACCCTTTTTAATCTTATTTTCTGCATATCCTGATGTATATATTCAATGTTATCAGACAAGCACACTGTACATCTGTTTATATTCAGCCTGTACGGATGAGAACGATGGCTGTGGTGAATTTAAGGTCCAGTTTAACAGTCAGAGGTGGGAGTGAGTGTGCAATGTTATACCTTGAAGGCATGTGTTTCTATGCAGAACCTCAAATAAAACCCGCTTTCTTTCCCTGGTGTTGAAGATACTTTGGTCTCATTTCAGTTTTTTTCTTCATATGTTAACAAAATAGTTTTTCTTTTTATGTTTTGCTGCTGTGCTGCTATTTATATTTGAACCAGCAGAGAGCTAGTAGTGCCTGCTTGGAGTGGTGTGGCGGCAAACACAGCTGGGCCTCCTGGTCTCTGCTGCCTCCCTGATTATATACCAAAGGTGTAAATGGCACCCAGATCACATCTCCATGGAGATTAGAGATGACAGGCAGCACTAATTAATGCTCAGCTACATGCATCCCTTTTCCCCCTCACTTCCGTTGATCTGATGCTAGTATAAAATGCATGTTCTGATTCTCTAACAGATTTAGATGTGAAAGCTTTCACATTGGTGCAGGAAGATGATGAGGGAATTGACTCCCTAAAGAAAAGATTTGATGCTTAATGATGCATATGCTACTGATATAGTGGAAGATGTGCAAAACAAACAATACCATGTAAAGAATGAAAAATACCACTTTGTGTTAAAGGACGAAGAAGTTTACTTTGATTTAGGTCAGACAAATTAAATTAAATCCCATATATAAGACTATCTTCTAGGAAAGTTGGCCGTTTTCAGAAGAGGTTTTTCTAATATTAATTTGCAGATTTATTTTTAATTTCTGTTTTGAAATTAAGTATTTTCCTCAATATTTGAAATGTGAATGATTTTTAACTATTACATTTACTC